GGCGAAAATTGGAATCGTTCTTCTTTTTATCGATTGTCAAATGGTAGCGAATCGATTACAATGAAAACAGATCAAAGTTAATTTGTTATCGATTTCTAATCTATTAAAAATGTATGATGTTAATCAACCTAGAATTAACTTTTTTGCATCACTTGTTTTTTTACAAGGGCTAGCTCTGAATTCTTCACAGCATCAGAAAATTGAATTTCATATATGCTTACATTTTTCTCACCGATTAGCAAAAAAGTTAAGAAATGTTAAAACGTGCTTTAGAAAGCTGGTAGCTTCAGAGACCTTGAATATTTTTCGTGTAACTTCCTGCTGTCATACTTTGTAATAAAACATTATACAAAATTTTTGAAGAGAATTTTACGGCATATATCTTTCAGCATGAACTTAGAAGAAAATTAACAACATTGTATAAATAGTAAAATTTCGCATAAAAAGTTACTCATGTCTTCTGGGTCATTCGATCTCTAATTTTCAAAGGCCTTGTATATGTAAAAGTGAAAGCGATTATGGCTGTCTGTATCCAAAAGAAAGGCTACTCTTCAGCTGAATAAAAAAAGCGAGACACGGTAGGAATGTGCAAATAATATCAATTTCGAAGTCTAGCCTTTTTCAGAGTTGGCGATGTTTGTAAATACCGACAATTTTGCAAGCATCTGCATACATTGAAAAGTTTCATTATCGATTAAGAACTTACGAGCTAAACACTAATGATACGTTCACAAAATTAAAGCAATGCTAAGGTAATCATTTTATGTCAGATATCTGACTTTTGTTCAAGAATATTTTCAATGAATTTCTCACGTCAGATCACAATGTTACTTAAAGTATTGAGATCAAGAGAGGAACAAAATTCAATCAGTAGTAAATGTGCAATAGAGAAAAGGATTTAGACTCAATTAAATTAACTAAAATTGAGAAAGATGACATGTAGATAATGAAAAATATGAAAATTTGTGCTCGTGATCTCTTCAAAATAGTAAGGAAATTGAATTCCTATAAGTATCTTTAATACTCATTCCGCAGTATTTATCTAATTCATCACGCTTAAATGTGATCTTTTGAAAATTAATGAAATTTGTGTCTATTTGCTAACAATATCGTCAAATTATCAGATGACACTTCGATTTCGAAGAAAAAGTAGACGAGCCAGGCGGTCTGTTTGGACCTCTGGTTGGTACCACAAATTTTTGAAAGTTTTAGCTGTCATCGCCGAAATCCGAATGCTAAAATCATTTGATTTCTATCTTCATTTGTGTTTTAGTCAGGAAATTTCATCCTAACTTTTTCGGTTGTCTATATATGTTCGAAAAACTAATACACTGTGTCCGAAAAATACAACTGTAAAGCACTTTTATTGATATTAGCGGGTTTGAATTTGATTTGTATCTAAATCCATTACGCGATATTACGAGTTTTCATAGCTTCAATGAAAACTTTTGAGTCTAATGAAGCCACTGAATATACCAAAATGATAATTTGTTTACTGTCATTTGCATTACATACACGAAAAAGCAAACAAAGTGTTTATTGCAAAAATTGCTTCGATAAATGAAAATGTGAACAAATAGATGATAGTTCATCGTCAATAGAAAAAGACTTAGCCTTTTTCTTGATACAATAGGTGCAGGCGATATGATAAATCCCTTATTGGCAATCCATCGAGTGACAGAAATACAGCAAGCAAAACCAAAAAATTAGTGTATTCCCTCTCTGTTTTCTCCAAACCACTATAGAACAAAAACTGTAGAATTAATGCAACAGCTCGGACATGCACCAAAATTAATGTTTTGTAGAGATAATCTTTCAGACTCTATGCTTAAAAAGTAAACAGGGCCATTTTTTTTAATATTTTGATATACATCAATTAAGTCTGTCTTTCATTCGAGTCAATGGGTCTCCTTATTTCAATCAAAACTGATTAGTAATTCATCACTCCTCTTCATAATTTCTACATGTACTATGTTGATTAAACTAACGTGCGAAACATAGTTAATATCATTTAGGTTTTTGTAACTATCAATTATCTGATACTCAAATAAACAAGTATTTCTTCTCATCTAAAGAGTTCTTCAATTTGGAAATTTCCAGCCACCACCATATCAATAAAGACTCTAAGCCATCGCCACTATGAGGATAAAAAAATTATTTTTTTACAGCCGTCGCCGCCGATCTACCCATCTCATTATATTTTCTTTCAGAACAATTATTTTCACTCAAAATGAAGATATATTACAGTCTAAATGGTATGTACGAAAACGTTGAAAATGAATGCTATAGAAATAAAATAAATAAATAATTTACTTTATTAGTTCGTAGTGCATCTGCCAAGTGTTCCGCTCCATTGTCATCGATTTGATTGTTATACAAATCCAACTGAGTAAGTGTCTGTATTGAAAACAAATCACAAATGATGAAAAAAAGTTGTTTAAAAAATAAAGTCGAACGTTTTCTGCTTAATGATATACAGCAAAATGATGGAATATGCAAATGTTTCAAAAAATAAATAAATGTTAATGTTAAGCGTGTTTACCGTGATTATTTAAGTTTAAAGACACATCAGTGACTATGATATTTAGACTTCATGAACAATGATTCGTTCATGGATTTTGTGATGATTAAAAGAAGATATTTAAAAAATAGTTAACATTTTCGATTGAAGATTTCATTTTGATTTCAATTCGGTAGAATCAGATGAATTGAAATATTCGAAATTTCAGTTATCATGCTGTTCACAATCATCAGATTTGATACATTCAATATAGTGAGTTTTACCATCATTTGATAGTTACAATATTCAACAACGATAGGTCAAACTCAACTAACATTTTCATATGATCTTACCCATAATCGGATAAATAATTTTAAGAAATTTGAACTGGAATTGAAGTTAATTGGTAAAAAAATACAATTTCGATCTTGTTGAAATTGTTTTCCATTCATAGCATCCTTACTCATTATTCCAATGAAATAAAATTTTTGACATTGAGATGCAAAACCTCTTTCACATGTGCTCTGATTCTTTTTTGTTGTTTATCAACAATTTTGTTTGAATGGTTGTGACACGACGTAGAAGTGATGCTAGAACAACCTCATTGATAGATAACTTACCTTGCTCGTTCGAAGTGCATCAGCCAAATGTTGCGCTCCAAGTTCACCAATTTGATTCGTATACAATTGCAGCTTGGTGAGTGTCTGCATAAGAAGAGAAAAATATGATAACGAATATGAAACATCAATTCAGTTTAACATCTGTCTCCATGTCATAGCGTATGAAAGACGAGTATTTATGTGATTGCTGAGTTTTCGACGAAAATTGAACATCAATGTTAGATGTACGTAGTTTTGAAATCAATACAAATCTATAAGACTATCATATGATATTTTTTTTTCGAATACATAACTACCATTGCTAATGACATCGAAAGATATATTCCATAGATTAGAAAAAAATTAAATTTTACATTGATGTGTCTTTGCAAAACGCATACTAAACATGATTTAACTAACACTGTGTGAAAGTATGGTTATTAATCTTGGCTAAGATAAGATAAATCCATAAATTTGCTCTTATTTTACCTTATGTTGTTATAGTCGAGTGTTAATATGATTTTGTACATACCCACAATATGTTCCACTGAAACATCAGTACCATCAGGCATGGAATGATTTTGGACAACTGACTCATGGTTATTCGTCTTGAATAATCCAGTCGGCAGTATGTTGACTATATAACTAGTCAGCATGTAGGATAAAAATGAACTCTAATATATATGAAGATCGCTACACAATGTGCGAAATGTTGACCGTAAGTCCAAGATATAAACTAGAGGTAGTTGTTATAGTGAAAAGGATACAGATAGGACAGTCATTTGAGAAGAAAAGAACGAAAAAACAACGGATCCAACAGATGATAAGTTTATGGAAAATAATAATATTATTATTACTAACTTTATCTAATCAAAGGTATTGTAGGGATACACTTTTTAAGATATCTATTCAACAAAGTTTCGATTTCATGTGTAGAATTCCACAGAAAATATTTCATGATTGGGTTTTCTACTCAAAAAATCGAGAAAGAGTTTAGTATTAGTTTTTGTGATATTTCCCATTGATCATTTTGCGAAAGTCTAAATCGAGAAAAGAGACGTTATATTGTCTTACTTCGTTTATTTTTATTTCCTTTGCTACAATCTCCATATCCTGATCAGTATAATTCGATGTGTTCAAAATGAGTGTTGACCGGTCCATGTTGGTTCTAATGCGTTCTTCGAGCGCTGGATTTTTATATTTCGGTTTTTCTTCCAATTTAATGTTCTGTATTAAGGTTTTCAATTCTGGTACTTTATCGAGACCTGTTATATGACACTTCATCCTAGTTCTTGGCTTCAAATCTATCAATTTCTTATCAGTTTCTTCCAAGTAATCTTCAAATGTTTTTCTTTCTTCCAATAATTTCAATGATTGCTTGTCCTTCGAAGCATTCACGAACTTCAATAGTTGTTGAATAAAATTCTGTTGTTCTTCTTGAAGTGTAAGTTTATACTCCTCGACAGATTTTTTCTGCTGTTTTTCCAGACCTTCAATCTCGCCGAGTAATGTTTCTTCAAGCTTGTTAACAATCTCATGTATCGATGCCATAGCTTCAACAACTTCAGTTTTATTGGATTGATTTTCTATCTTGATCTCTGTTAACAATTTGTCGGCTTGCTTGGACCTATAGTTTAGACATGATTGAACAGCATATAAGCCATTTTTGCACTAAAAAATCATGATTTATCATTACAAATAGTTTTATGATTAATTCCGTCAAAGCATCGACGTTCAACACTCACCTCTTCTTCTACAACATCCACCCGACCAGTCATCAACAGGAAGGAGTGATCCTTATGTATGAATTTCTGGCAATTGTTACAGATTTCTTGCTTACATCCTTCGCACCAATATTTGAGTTTATTATCTTCATCATGTTCTTGACATCGACGTGTACCAATTGGTCTTTCTGATACAGGAAGTTGCGCATGATTTCGATATTCACCTAATGCATGAATTTGCTCCCAACATTTGAAGCAAAGGCAAAGTTGACAGTTGCCATCACACCAAAATTCGGCCTCGTATGATTGGCATCGAGCGCAACGAGGTCCACTTGTATCAGGATTATCTTAAGAAAGAAAAAAAAAGCATCATAGAAATGTTTGGGAATTGAAATTCTGTGAGTTAAAACATAGAGAATGTTACACAAGATTTTCATGATTAGAAATGTCGTTTTTCGATCTTCAAAAAATTCTAACTTAAATCATGTTCATAATCTTTCACTATCATTATCACACAAGAGAAATCAAACATTTTGCTTCATCTCGACACTGCTTAAAGCCAGACAACTATTAGAAGAATTTCATCTGACTCAAGATTTAAAGAAGTACAGTCTGCAACATTGTTTTCGCTCAATGAATTTTGATCATAGAAGGAATTTCCTGCTTACCAATTAGTTCCACAAGCCCTTGTAAAGCGTCGTTCAGAGGTAATGCTGTGACGGCATCTACTCTGATTTTAGTTCCATCCTTTTTTGGGCACACCAATTCACCATTGTTTTCAGTGCACATATTTGTAAGACATTGATGGCAAAATGTATGCTTACATGGTAGCATACGCGGTTCTGCAAAATGTTTCGCGCAGATTGGACACGTAATAGCATTTTCAATTAACTCCGTAAAGTCGGATGCCATGTTAATTGATTAGCGATAATAGAAAATAATTGTTTCGAATCTAGAAAAGGAAACTTCTAAAGGCATGTTTATTATTGATTATACACAGATGAGCTGTTCTTCAACAGCAAAGTATGTAGTATCAACAAGTTTCATGTTTTATTTGCACTTCGAAGTATTGACGCTACAAGTTCTTTCGCTTTTACTTTGCTTGTCACTCATTCAAAAGATTTTTCAATATTAATTGTTGACACAAAATCGATCGATGAAGACGAGACTTGTTTTCAAATGTAGGTGTTTGTCCTTGGTGCAAACACCATACGTACCAGAGATGAACGAGCCGCGGTGTAAAACCGCCCCGTCCCGCCCCGCCGGCGGGGCGGTGCTAAAACTTGACGGGGCGGGGCGTTTACGGTGCATGACGAAATTTCGCGGTTTCCGCGCCTTTGTATAACCTTGATTTTTTAAATATACTCAGACCTTTAGAGACATTTTTGTGAAAAATTTAAAAATTTTTCACAAAACTAATCAGTAAAAAAGGACTTGTTAGCGCAGCTTCAGAGGAGCTAAATGTGGAACTCACATAAATTTTTTTAATTTTTTGTCCTGATGCCTTATTTTTAAATTGTAAAATACCCTTTTTCCGAATACGTATGAAATCATTGATATATTATATAAAAACTAGAGCCTTTTTTGCGCTGCTGAGGTCTGTAATGGTGGGGGTCAGGGTTACCAGATCGA